CCCAGTACCGGAGAAAAAAAAAAAAAAAAAAAAAAGAAATGACTTTTATAAAAAAAAGCTAGGTAAATATATGTAATTTTAAAATAATTCATTCTAAAAATTAGGACACCATTATAACTAATGTTTTCTGCTAATTACTATAGTAATTGGAAGATATTTACCATCCTTAAAAGGAGAAACTTAATTTCAGTCACATTCTTTCATATGTTTGGATGAACTTTTTCTATAATTTCTTCCTGTTAGAAAATTTTATTTTTTCTTACTAATATAGTTAGTACAGCCCCTCATGAATCCTACTTAAATATATAAATAAATCAGACAACAGTTTGTCAACAGAAGATGTATATAATTAAGATATGGTATATAATTTTAAAAATTCATTTAGTATGTGAAGACGTCAGCCTTCATGCTGAAGTACTTTAGACTAACAAACTTTTGCTATAAAAATTTATCTCCAGTTGTCTTATGGGTGTTAGCTCAGGTGAAAGATGGTAATGTTACAGAAATTTTTACCTTCAGTGTTGAGCACAGTATGAGGGCAGGATTAATACTGAAGGATACTTTGATACTCATGTAATCGTTAAACTATGTCATTTTTAATTCTCATGCTTATTTGGATTCATGAAAAGTATATGATTAAATGATATCTGTTACTCCAGCAGTGACCAATGTTTCTCAACCTTTTCTGGTAACTTTTCTTAGAACTCAGAACTCATCAACTGTGTAAAAAAGAAACCTCAATAAGTGACAGGAAAATCACTGGTTTCCGGAGAAACTCTTCTTTGTCCCATAGGAAAATAACAATCTTTTTCAGCAGAGGAGAGATACTAATGTTTTTCCTCTGTGTTTTGTTACGTTTCATTTTGTTTTTGCACTTGTTTGTTTTAGGCAAGGTTTCACGATGTTGTCCATGCTGGTCTAGGTTTAAGTGATACTTGTGCCCCAGCCTCATGAGTAGCTGGGATCTCACCTGGCAGTTGCTGTTTTCAAAGGTTGTCATCATATAATATTGCTCAATAGGCAAAGCCTGGACTTAGTGGGAATCAGCTGGGGGATGGATGAAGTTTGAATTGTCAGCCATTAGGATCCCCACTCAAGAATCCTAATCAGAAGAAAATCACTCGTTACCCACCTTTGCTGAGATAGTTTCCTTGTCTTGGAGTCAGTGCTGGTGGAACATAGGGGTATGTTTTATTTTGTCTTATCTTCTCTTACTTTTTCCATTTTCATTTCCTTTATCTTTCACTGAGGTACAAAATACATAGAGCAAAAGTACACATCCTAAATGTACAACTAGATGAGTTAAATATGTATATATATATATATACACCTACTTACAGCCACCACTTGAATCAACATTTCCATCATCTTAGAACTGGGGTTGGCAAACTATAATCCATGAACAATATCTGGCCTGCCATTTTTGGTGTCTGTTTTGTTCATCTGTTTTTGTTCTGTTTTATAGTACTGTTAATTACTGTAGTAAGCTAAGCAAATGCTCTATCACTGAGCTATTTTTCATTTTGAGGCAGATTCTCACTAAGTTGCACAAGCTGAACTTGAACGTGCAATCTTTCTGCTTCAGTGTGACAAATGTCTGGGATTACAGGTAGGAACCACCATACTTGGCTTGTAATGAAAGTTTTATAATAACATAGCCGTACTTAATTATTTGCATATAATTATTGTAGCTACTTCTGTCCTATGATGATGGTGAGTAGTTTGTTACAAACACTCAAAGGCCCACAAGACCTAAATATATACTGTTTGATCCATTAAAGAAAATGCTTGCTGACTTCTATCTTAATTGACTCCTTGTCCCATCTCACTTGGTATCTGTCTTCCTCCCCTACTGGGACTCTGTCACCATAGATTAATTTTACCTGTTCTAGGACTTGACCGAAATTATTCAATATGTTATTTTTCATTGGAAATGCCTAAGATTTAGCCACATTGTTGCATAGATATAAGTTCATTTCTAGTTCTTTATTTCTATTTAATGAATTTATTTATTTTTTTGGTGCTGGAGATTGAATCTAGGATCTTGCACATGCTAAACACATGCTGTACCTCTGAGATATACTCCCAGGCCTAGCTCACTCCTCTTTATTGTTGAATAATATTCTACTGCATAGAAACATGTCAGTTTATCAAGTTCTTTTGGGAAGTAATTTGATACAAACTACTAGTTCAGTTTCAGGTTATTATGCTCAAAAGTGCAATGAACATTTTTGTATAAGTCTTGCAGTGGACAACATACATAAATATCTGTGGTGAGTATCCTGCAATAAAACTGTTGAAAGAGAATTTTGTGTTCAGGTTTAACTGCTATCACCAAACAGTTTTCAAAAATGGCTAAACCAGATTGCAGTTCCACCAACTGTGTGAGAACTGTGTTGCTCCTGGATGTGGATTTTCACTTCCAGCCTTTAAGTCATGCACAGTGCATTCAGACCATCAGTCTGACAAGTAGAGCATTCTTTACTAATATTTTATCCAGATTAAGTTTCATATTTCCTAATACATGGATTTTTGGAAATAGGAAGCCTCCACTGTTATGATAATATCTCATTACAGTACCAGTTACTTTAAGAGATTGATTATTTTATTTTCCCATTGCTGGAAAAAATATCTGACACCCACCACTTCAAGAAGGAGAGATATATTTGGCTTACAGTTTCAGAGATTTCAGTCCATGGTTAATGGCTACAAGGCAGGAACATCATGGCAGAAGGGTGTGGAGCAAGGCTGCTTGGTTCACGGCAGTCGGAAAGCAGAGCAGGGGATCAGTGCCCAAGAGGAAGGGGCCATGGACTAGAGGTAATACTCAAGGTTACACCTCCCTCATCTACCCAGATACTCCCAGAAATATGCTTTATTAATCCCCTAGATGGTTTTGAAGCCAATCAAGTTCACAGTTCAGCTTAACTGTCAAAAGAAAAAGATATTTTGATGTTGTGACTTAAAAAATATTGCTACAAATTCATAGTTTTTAGAGGCTAAAATTTTATGACATGTGCATTCATATGGAAACTATTGGGTTATATTATAGTTTTGTGTTTAGTTTCTTCAGATATGGCCAGTTTTCACTAAACACTCTTCCTCACATGGTTGGAGTCCCTTATTGGCTGCTGTGCTCCGTTGCTAAGACTTATCCACTGGAGCAGTATCCTTGCTTTCTGACACATTTAAGATTATGGACAAAAAAAAGATTATGGAAGGACATCTATACATCTTGTATTCTTTGCTCCACATGCATTTCAACCATTTTCCAAGGCACTCCAGTCCTTTGTAGTGAAAGTGGTATGGGTTATTATCTGGGGACATTAAATTTTTTCTGTTGAAGTGACATCACCTCAAGAAAGAGAAATATAATATAGACATAATATAATACAAAAAATTATATAAAACATAATATAAAAGACATAATATAAAAATATGTAATATAAAAAAGACATTAAAAAATTACAAGGTGTCTCTCTGGTGATTTTTTTTTATACCAACCTACATTGCAGTCTTTTTTCATGTTTTATTATAATACAGTGTTTCGCTAAGTTTCCCAGGCTAGATTCAAACTTTTGATCCTTCTGCCTCACTCTTCCAGAATGCTGGGATTACAGACATGTGCCACCATGACTGGCTTCATTGGTAATTTTAACACATTTCTGACATCAAGCATTCAGGCGTACTACAAAGTATTTATGTACACAACCTAGTTTTCATCCTTATTTTGTTGTTCATTAAGCCTTACAGTTATATCTTAAACATCTGGGTTAAAAACAACCTAATCATTTTTTGTTGAAATTGTGTTTTTGATTTTAGAGACAGGGTCTTGCCTTGTTGCCAGGCTGACATCATACTCCTAGGCTCAAGTGATCCTCCTGCCTCAGCTTCCTGAGTTGCTGGAACTACAGGTGTGCACCACCATACCTGGCTTTGAAAATTATGTTTTAAATGGTAATACTCAATCTACTGACTGAATAACATGGTGTTGTCTTCCATTAATTATTTGTGATCATTGTTTGAGTATATTTTTCTAGCCTTATACAATTATTTGACTTTGCTTCGGGTTTTTTGTAATATTTTCATAAATTTATAGAAGCCATTGTCCAGTCTATGCTTAGGTCTGATTATGTAAGTCTCAATGTGTTCATTAACAAAACTTTCAGTTATGCTTTGGTAGGAACTTTTATTTCCCGGAATGTCCATTTTATTTATCCACATTTAGATTTGAATGGCAGGCATTTTTCTTTTACCATGATGATTTAAGGCATAGTTTTGTATACAAGATTTATTTAAGGAATTTATAAGTTTCAGGACAGGCCTGGTCTCACGGCTCTGTTTTTTGTTATTTTACCATTTTCTTCCTGCTATTTCTACTTTTATAGGTCTCAATTCTGCTTCTAAGGACAGGAGAAAATGATCGAGTATCAGGTAAAAATGATCTTGGGGAAATGACCTAGAAAAATATAGATGCATTATAAATATTTTGTCATAGGCTGCATTTTCAGGAAAACACACTCAGAGATGAAGATTTTAACAAAGGAAGTTTATTGAGGAGTTTCTTGAAATACCTGTAAGACGGTGAAGGAAGCAAGATTGGGCAGGAGTTGTTGAGCAAACATCTGATCTGATCTTATAAAATAGTCTGGTGCTTAGAGTTTTCTTAAAGTGAGAGGCCTTTTATATTTAGAAATCGACCAGTTATCAATTGCAGGCTGCCCCAGGAGAGATAACCTTAAGAGCTCAAATTGGCCACAGACAATTCTCAGGAAGGTTTCAAGCCCTTCTGGTGATTTGAGTGGAATGCCATAGCCTCTATTTTATTCATAGAAACCATAAGAAAACAAATACACATGCCATTTTACCCAACATATTAGTGCTTAGGACCACATCATTTTTTAAAAATCCAACACATAAATGATCCATTGTGTGCATGGAGATCTGACTAATTACCTTTTCTTACTACTGAGACAGAATACCCAACATCCAAAGTTAAGGGAGGAAAGGTTTATTGTAGCTTACAGTTGGTAGAGGTTTAGTCCATAGATGGCTGGCTCCAAGGCAGGGTGGCATGGCAGAGGAGCATTGCAGAAGTGAAACAGTTTATAATGCCTCCTGCCTCAGAAAGCAGAAGGCAGCAACATAAGAAGTAATGAAGTAGCAAGCAGCAAGTGCCAACAGTAGCCCTCTTTCTGTCCCTTAAATTCTGTCCAGGCTACCAGCCCAGTGTTACCAGGGTGGGTAACACTGACACCCAGGGTAGGGCACTCTGAATCCAAGCATCACACCGGGAATCAACTCCAGTATCACATCCTTAATCCTAGCATCACACACTCTAGATCCAGTCACCTCTGGTAAGTTCCACCTATGGCCACGTGAGTCTTTGAGCGGATATCTACATACAAGCTATAATACTGATAATAACCAGTTCCCCATTTTGTGGACATTTAGGTAGTTTCCAAACTTGGTATTATAGTGATGAAGGAACATCTTTTATCAAAATATGGATGTATAAAATAGAGAGTTGGATTTATATCCGTCATTTTAATATGTTTTTTTCTTGGCCTCATCTGCTTTTGTTGTTCTAGTTCTTTTTCCTTTTTTATTTTGTGTTTGTGAATTTTTTTTTCTGTTATTTGGCACTGGGAATTGAACCCAGGGCTTTTGCACTGAGCTACATCCTCAGTCCTTTTTGTTATTTTTGATTTTGAGCCAGGGTGTCACTAAGTCACTAAGTTGCATAGGCGAGGCTTGAATTTGTGATCATCCTGCCTCAGTCTCCCAGAGTGAGGTGACTGATTACAGAGATGACCCACTACACCTAACTTTAATTGAATTCTCTTTTAGGATCCCATTTTATTTGCCTAGGTATAGGTCTTTGCATTATGATGTTAGTGGTTGCTCTAGTGATACAATATGCATCCATGACTTTTCACAGTCTGTTTAGAGTAAGACACTCACTCATTATCTAACATGTGCTTTGTGCATGTGCTTCATCCTTCATCACATCATCTCTTTTCTTCCGTTATCTCAGCACTCATAGCATTCTATATACTTTTATTTTATTCCTGAATAACTTGCCACCCTTAATATCAGTTTTGCTGGAGACTTTTCTAGGTAAATGGGTGCAACTCGAGACCGTACTCATAAGTAAAATAAACCAGACATGCATCTGTAAACATCGTATTGTCTCCCTAGTGTGAGAAGCTGAAGGAGAAAATAAGATTCAAATTGTACAATAGATATTATAAAATGGGAATAAACTTCAAAAGGAAAGAGAAACGGATGGGGGAATGGAGAAAAGAAGGGAGGGAAAAGCAAAAAGAAAAAAATTATTATGTATGTATATATAATAGTTAAGATAGTTATACTAATTAAGATAGTTATACTACTTGTTAAGATAGTTATACTACTAATGTCTCTTAGTTCATATGGATCATTACCATAATCCTGGTAAGATCTGACCTGTGACTATTTTAAAAATCAGTACCATCCACCCTACTACCATTTGCCTTTACATTTCAGCTTCAGGAGATACCTGTGTCATTCAAAGATGTGGTTGTAGGCTTCACCCAAGAGGAGTGGCACCGGCTGAATCCTGCGCAGAGAGCCCTGTACCGGGATGTGATGTTGGAGACCTACAGCAATCTGGTCTCAGTGGGTAAGATCTGCTTCATCTATACACTGCAGATTACACTTGACTGACCATCTTCTCTTTGTCAGTCACCAAAACCAACTGAAGTGTCTAAAGCCTCTAAGCTCCCTTTCTTAATAATTACTTAGTACTTTCTATGTGCTAGACACAATTTTAGCAACTTTTAAGATATTGACTCATTTAATTCTCCTAAAAACTTTATGAGAGACCCTTTTAGGGACCCTTTATGAGAGACCCTTTTAGGGACCATTTATGAGAGACCCTTATATTTTACACCAAGCCAAAAATCTATTTCTTCAGCCTATGATTGTTTAATGTCAACCCCATAATCACATTCACTCATTTTAACCTTGTGTTATGCTTATCCAGTACAAAGGTCAGATTACTCACAGAGTTTTGGTACAGAGTTTTTCACCTAAAACTATATTTACAAAGAATGCCATTATTGTCTTGGACAACTGAGTTGGACATGAAAAGTCAGTGAAATGGGTATAAATAAGACCAAATAAGTAGTGTCCATTCATGTAAATTTTGAATCAGTTTTATAAGAATACTTTCTTCACAAAGTCTTCCTATTTTTCTCTGATTGCTATGTCTCTCATTTATCTGTGTAACTTTTATGGCACTGAGTACTCTCTAACTTGTTTTTCTAGCTATTTATATGCTGCATATCTACATTAATAGATCCAAGTTCAGGACTAGGGTATAGCTTAGTGGTAGAGCATTTGCTCAGCGTATAGTAGTCCTAGGGTTCAGTCCCCTGCACTACCATCATCACCACCACCACAACAAAATACTCAAGCTCTGAGGAAACATCCATATCTGATTTTCTTTCTCTCTCCTTTGTTCTGTTGTACAATGTAATGCCATGGATATAGAAAGACAGCAACAAATGTTTTAAAAATAAGTGTATATACACTGTTGAATGGAACCACTGGACATGTGCCTATAATGTTTTATGGTTAAAAATAAACAAAAACTCATGTCTAGATGTCTAGATGTCTAGATGTCAGTCCAGATGAGGATATCATCTCTGTGCCTTGTAAATAAGGTGGCTACGGTAGAAGTGTTTCTGGATACTTTCCCAATAATTAATGCCAGAGGATAGCTCTCAAATTAACTTCAATGAAACTATAACTAGAACAGCTGAACACTAGTATTTTCTTTTAAAAATGTTTTTAAATTAGTACATATGCCTTAATTTCTTTTTTCCCCATTCCTCTCTCCTTTCTCAACCCTTCTTCCCCTTCCCATTTACAAAAGCTTTGTTTCCGTTTTTCCCTTCCATTCTCTCTTTTTTTCCTTCCCTTCCTCCTCCCTCCTCCCTTCTTCTCCTTCCCATTTGAACATGTTCTTCTTACTTCTTGATATCTAGCCTCCGTTTTGCTCCTTATTTACCCTTTGGGTTTCTCACACAAAAGAATATAATATTTAAATTTGTGTATCTGGTTTATTTTACTTAACATGGTATTGAATGCATCCATTTACCTAAAAATGACTCAAGTTTATCCTTCTTTATGGCAGAATAATACTCCATTGTATATAAATACCATATTTTCTTTATCCATTCATCTGTTGATGGACATGTGGGTTGTTTTTAAGATTTAGCTATTGTAAATTGTGTTACTATAAACATGGGCATGCATATATCACTGTTATGATGCTTTTAGCTCTTTTGGAAAGATACCTAGAGGGAGCACAGCTGGGTTAAATAGATTCTCTAGTTTTAGTTTTCTGAGGAATCTCCATACTCATTTAGTGCTTGTACAACTCTACACTCCTACCAACAACTGAGAAGGGTTCCTTTTCCCCCATAGCATTTTAAAAAATGTACATTTACTCTTTTTGTATGTGTGTGGGGGGAGAATTGAATCCAGGGCCTTCACACTGAACTACACGGTAGACCTTTTCAACTTTTTAATTTTGTGACAGAGTCTTGGTAGGCATTGGGCTCAAACGTGCGTTCCTCCTACCTTAGCCTCACAGAGAACTGGGATTACAGACATGTGCCACCATGCTCCACTTTAATCACCTTCTTGAACATTATTCTTAAACTTTACCACAGTATTTCCTCATCTATTCCATGCATACATTTGAAAGCTAGAATATTATATTCTTAAAATGTTATATCCATCACAGTGTAATCTGAAGTCTAAAAACAATAAAAATTTGAAAATAAACTTTAAGAAAGCTTTATGAGCCGCTACTATTTAACAGATTTGGAAATCAAGGCACAGAGAGGTGTCATAACTTGCACAGAGTCACCCACCTTGTACACTGTGGAGCTAGGGTTGAACCCTGGCAGTCTGGCTATAGAATGCAGTCCCAACCCTTACACTATGCCTCTGTGCATTCAGCCTTTCAGTGATCCTAGATTACTGATTTCATTGGTTCTGGACAAGGTTTATGTATAGTCCCCACCCAAGTATAACATGTATATGTGTAGCCTTTAAAGCTTCCTGAGAGGCCCCAAAGACCAAGGAGCTTGGCCCAAGACCTGAATAATTTCCCTGGAACAGGTTATGAAGGCACCAAACCAGATGTGATCCTTAGGCTGGAACAGGAAGAAGCACCATGGATTTGTGAGGCACAGTGTCCAGGCTGCCGCTGTCGGGGTAAGTGTGATATACCTAGTAAAAAGGTTACTATGTGAGATTGGCACCTTTGAAACTTTCTTTAAGGTCTCGCTCTTAAAAGACCTGAGCACTCCATCCTTCTTGATGATCCTTTGCCCTCCCCTAATCTTCCTACTTCCACTTAAATGTTTGGTCCATCTCCCTTTCTCCTTGCTTATCAATATACTTTCTCTTTCACATTCAGGTGGTCTTACAAATAGCTTATCTGATTTTACTCCTAGTGTTATTCTCTAACACTTTCCAGGTAAAATGCTTCAGACCATATCCACAGCCGTATTACCCATTCTTTCCTTCCTCCTTGTACTCAAATTTAAGGCACTCCCACAGATGGAAGTGTATAGGATCACAGAACAGGAGGAGGTGAACTCTATGTGTGGGTTAGCGGATGACAGGTATCCAGGGATGGCTGGGTGATAAAGTAGGTAAAGTGGCATCCATCTTAACCACTTCTAATTAACACTCAGTATAGATGTAAAATGACTATATAAAATATCTTATGTACCACAATATCTTATATACCTCCCACTTTTTACTTTCAACTGACATCTCCTAATATTGGACCCATGCCTAAATGTCTGTCTGTAAGTCAGGGGTTATTTTTGTGCCACAGGCCTCTTTGGCATTCTTTTCAAGACTCTTTTTTTTTTTTTTTTTTACATGTAACAATGAAAGCCAAGCACGGTGGTGCACACCTGTAATCCCAGCACTTGAGAGGCTGAGGCAGGAGGATTGCTGTGATTTTTGAGGCCAACCTGAGCTACAAAGTGAGTTCAAGGCTAGTCTTAACTATATAGTGTGACTCTGTCTCAAAAAACAAAAACAAAAAAAAAGTTTGAGATGTAGCTCAATAGTAGAGTACCTTTGGGTTCATCCCCCTCAAACACACACACACACACACACACACACACACACACTCCTGAAGAGTATGAAAGAAATTACTGAAAAAATAGTAATTATTGAAACAAAAAGTGAGAAATATATCTATCAAGATATTTTCAAAATGTGTGTAATAGTAGATGCAGTTCCTTATTTATATGTAAATAAAGAGATATAGCTTTATGTCTAATAAATATCAAAGTAGAGATAATTGTAAACATGTTATGAAAAATCTTTAAACCTGTAATATGAGATGAAAATAGCATATTCATAAATAAGTGTAAAAAGGAACTGCTAATACTGTGTAGATATTTATATTCATAATCAAAGGACATGCTCAATTGTAATTAGAATTTAGTGAAAATAAAGGTCCTACTTTTTCCTATCCAAGTTCCTAACTCCTGTTATTTCTATCCAACAAGCACTCCTGTTTTAACTTTTTTTGAGATAGGGTCTCACTAAGTTTCCTAAGCTGGTCTTGAACTCATGATCCCTTACTTCAGTCTCCCAAGTAGCTGGGATTATAGGCATGTGCACTACACCTGGCTAGAAGTCTTGTTTTAAATCCTACTTAATTTTGTTGAATCCATTCTTTCATCTAATCCATCTCAGAATGCTTTATTATTTATATTATAACCAGCTCAAGAGGATAAACTCTCTGATAATTGCTATATCAGTACTTATCAAACCCTAACCTGGACATCTTGCTAAAATACAGATTTTCTGGTTCAGTAGGTCTGGGGTAGGGCCTGAGAAACAATCTAACAAGCTTTAAGGTAAGGTCATTCCTTGAAGACCCTCACATTGAATAGCAAGGTGCTATGTAATGTTTAAACCTCTCTCTTCCATAAATAGGTCAGGAAACCATGCTCTATAGGTCAGCCACCCATTTTTGTGAATCAAGTTCTATTGCAACAGTCACAATCTTATATATACATAATGTCTATGTTTTCTTGCTACAATGGGAGAATTAAATAATTGTGAGAGAGACCATATGACCCATAATCCCTAAAATATTTTCTCGTTGGCCCTTTAAGAACAAGTTTGCCAATCCCTGCTCTGTGATGTCATTACTTCTTTGAAATTGTGTGTATCCTATGATATACTGCATTACATTTGTGCCAGTGTTCTAAATCTTCTCTACCATAGAACACTTTTCTCTGAATTGTAGTTTTGGCTATGGTTCATATACTGTACACACTTCAACTTTGAGGGCATTTCTTAAGATAATTTTATTACAGCTCACAATAAACAAAGATTCATAAGGAATGATTCACTTGTACTTTCTCCAGAAGACATCTGGCAAGTTGATGTCCAGAGGAAGAGACAGCAAGACATGTTTTTAAGGCAAGGTTCATTCATCAGCAAGAAAGCATTGCCCAAGGGAAAAATCCATGAATGTAGTAAGTTCGGGAAAGTATCACTTCTGAGCACTGATCTTTTTCCTTCAATTCAAAGGCCCAATAACTGGGATCCTTGTGGAAAGAGTTTGAATGATAATTTAGACTTGATTGGTTTGAAGAGAAACTATGCAAAAAAACAAGATGAGTGTTATGGATATGGGAAATTGTTGCAATGCAGCAACCATGATAAAAGATCTAATGGAGAAAAACCTTGGGGATGTAGTCACTGTGAGAAAGCTTTCAGCCCTAACCCAGCACTTACATATAAACCAGCAGTGACCAATTCTCTTGTGTACAAACGAAAGAGGATTCCACCTACAGAAAAACCTCATGTCTGTAGTGAGTGTGGGAAAGCCTTCTGCTACAAGTCTGAATTCATTAGGCATCAGAGAAGTCACACAGGGGAGAAGCCTTATGGTTGCACTGACTGCGGGAAAGCCTTTTCACATAAGTCAACCCTAATTAAACACCAGAGAATTCACACTGGGGTAAGACCCTTTGAATGCTTTTTTTGTGGGAAAGCCTTTACTCAAAAGTCACACCGCACAGAACATCAGAGAACACATACAGGAGAGAGACCTTTTGTGTGCAGTGAATGTGGGAAGTCATTTGGTGAGAAGTCATACCTCAATGTACATCGAAAAATGCACACAGGAGAAAGACCCTACCGTTGTAGAGAATGTGGAAAATGCTTCAGCCAAAAGTCATGCCTCAATAAACACTGGAGGACTCATACAGGAGAAAAACCCTATGGGTGCAACGAATGTGGCAAAGCTTTCTACCAGAAGCCAAACCTAAGCAGACACCAGAAAATTCATGCTAGAAAGAATACCTACCGGAATGAAAATTTAATGATTGTGGGGAATCCTTAACCATGATACCGTTTCATTGGGTATAGGAATTTATCCCTAGGAGAAATCTTTTTTTTTTTTTTTTTTTTTTTGGTTTTTCTCCGGTACCGGGAATCGAACTCACGACGTTGCGCTTGCCATGCAGGCGCTTTTGCCGCTGAGCTAAATCCCCAGCCCCTCTAGGAGAAATCTTAACAACTAGATGAAGTTATAAAACATGTTTTATTAAAAAGGAAGTCATCCTGCAATTATGATAAAACTTTAATGGAAAGACTATGGAAAATACTTTATAATATACTGCATAAACATGTTTACTTTGACATAAAATTTTTTTAAAAGTGTATTGAATAGAATAACAAGAGATTACAAAATGTATGTGGAAAGACATGTACATATATGATGGTACTTTCCTCAGTGTAACACATAATTATTTATATTTTGGAATTGTTAATGTGAATCACATAAATTGTGAATATCAAATCCATATGTCACACAGTACATAGAATGCCATCCCCCCAGTTTTTCTACTCTGAATATCACCATTTTCTTTAGGTGTCTTAACAGTATAAAAAATAGTAACAATGCAATGGCCAGCTACTTTAAGAACATAATATATCAGGTACATTTTCTCCACCTTGCTTGTAATAGATGTAAATGGCTCTAACAGTTGTTATTGAGCCCTTCTCTGAATAAGAAAGCAATATTTTTAATGTCATTTGTTAAGTCAGCCAAAAGTTTATTTAAAAAAGTTATTTTTGTTGGAAACACGTTAAAGCTAAGGAATAATTTAACTGCCTGATATTAGGTAAACAAAACTCTGAGAAACTTGATCTCAGCATGCTGCTAAACAAAATGTAGTGTTTCCCTGCTATACACAGCTCATATTTTCTACTCTTGCTTAAAATGTGTTATAGAAAATTAGAAATCATGCTCTTTATATGGGTCTTATAATTCAGAAATGTTTCATGCAGAAATCAGTGAAGTAGAACTATTTTATTGTCTGAGTTATCTCTTGAAATTAATGCAGCAACATCCACTTTTCTTTCCTATAATTTCTTGTAATTGTCCTGGACACTATATCCCAAATTTTCCATCATTCCAATGTTTGGAAAAAGTTTTTCTTTCCTTGAGCTGCAATGTTATCTTTATAAGAAAAGAAATGGAATTGAAATCTCTATTCTTCAAGATTTGCTTCCCCTACCCAGAAAGAGAAAGAAAATGAGATGTAACCACAGTAGAAACACAATTAAAAGAATGATAAAAATAGAGCATCTACAACTCTAGATCCATATATTTTAAAAACAGGAAATGAATGCTTTTTAAAAAGCAGACTTAAATTATGAGAATTACAGAAAGAAGTATAAAACATGATAAAAACAAGTGCCACTGAAGCATCTGGAAAAGTGATTTAGGATCTTACTCCTGTCTTAGACAAATTCATGATTAATTCTATGTATCTTTTAAAGTACTACCAAAGTTATTGATAATATTTCAATTTATAGACTGTACTATTCAATTTATTTTATGAAATCAGCAGAGTTGAACAAACTCAAGATCAGTCTTAGGAATATAGAAATAATTAAAATTGTGACAAATAGAATTCAGTTATATACCTAAAGGATGACCAACTATGACTGTGATGACCAAATTAGAGCCCAAGAATGCAGAAGCAGTTCAGTATAAAGAAATATATCAATAACATTAACAGCCTAAAGGAGAAGAATCATTACCCATCAATAGATGCTGACAAGGGAGTTAGTAGAATTTACAAACATTTCTAACTTACTATAAATAGTATGTGTTATACTGAAGCCACTTACTAAAAAAAATAAGGAATTGAATATTATCTTGGAGACAGTGAACAAGATAGTATAAAATAACTGGTATAAGCAATGAAAAAGAAAAGGGAAACTATCCCTTTTTTTTTAGAAAGATGGTTAGATACCAATAAGTAAAAGGGACCAGTTTATTTTAAGGTAATTTTCTAAGAAGGCGGTGTATAGAAATCAAGAACTATACTGACAATAAACACCTAATAATTTATGAACTTCTTTTGGAATTGCACTAAACCTTAGTGATATTTTTTGCTTATATAAAATCATCATAAATTTAATATAAAAATACCTGAGAAGTTAGACAAGTATGAAAAAGAAAATATTATACCAGATATCAGAACATAGCATGAAATCATTATAGTGAAATTATTATATTATCATCAAAGGAACAGATTAATACATCAGTAGAACAGAAAATTTGAAGTAAACCTTCATGTATGGAAAAAGTAGAATTTTAAACCACAGGGGAAAAGAGTAGTTTATTTAAAAAGAATTCTGGTCTGATTGGCTTTTAATTTGGAAAAAAATTTGGACCAGTGGCACAAAAATATCCAAACACAAAGTCCTAGGGGATTGAAGACTTAGGTTTTGAAAATAAAGTTCTTTTTTTAAAAATGTTAGGGTCTACACAACCTAAAATTGAGATTATCTTTACCAATATAGGACATTCAAAAACTATTAAAAAATAAATATTTGACTACATCAATAGTAAAGTTTTTTTGAATGGCAAAGGATGTTACAAAAAAGATAATTAGGGAAAAATTGTGGAATGGATTATAGAAGAAGTACTCCTCAAATTGACAGGAAAAACATACCCCAATAGCAAAACATGGCAAAAAAAAAAAAAAAAAAAAAAAAAGGCAGAGTTCTGAGAAGAGCAAATGTTAAGTGGCTGATGGATCTATCAAAGAATGTTTAGCTTCAATAATTGTTGGGGAATGTAGATTACATTTATGAGGTAACATTGCACAGAATTCTTTTTGTTATCAGAACAAGTATTGTTCTTATACACTTGTTGCAAACACATTTTGAAAAGCAATTCCAATTGCTATTTTGACAAGCAATATGGAAACATCTGTTAGAACTCAAAGTACTTATTTACTTTGGAGAATCCTCCCCTTGTTTTTTTTTTTTTTTGTACTGGGAATCAAACTCAGGACCTTGTGCTTGCTAGGCAGGCACTTGTGCCGCAGAGCTATATCCCCAGCCCTCTCCCCTTGGAAGATCCAACCTCAATACACAAAGAACAGATGAACATAGTCATTTATTGTAACTTGTTTCTAATGGCAAAAACAAAACTAAAAACAGCAAGAACAATGGAATCTCACTAGAACAGAAGTAAATGCCTATCAGTAGGGAAATTGGGAGAAGGAAATGTCTACATTATATCTGTTCCACAGAATGTTTAGACAACAATTATGGTGGAAAACTAAAACTATGCTGCTGGAATTAAATTACACAATGCTTTCTTCAGTGAAAAAAGCCTGATAGATGATACATGTAAAATACTGTCTTTTGTAAAACAGTAACAAAATGTCTGTAGGTGTTTCTGAATGTATGTTATGTGTGATTTCATATGCCTGGAGACAAGTATGGAAGATTTTGTACTGAGTTGAGGGAAGGTGGGTCATGCAAGTAGCTTCCAGGAGAGCTGGAGGGGGAAAAGAAGAGGCAAATAAATAAATAAATAAATAAATAAATAAATAAATAAATAAATGACTGAACCAAGTATGATACCTCAAATGCATTTGGATACGGCCAGGTAAAAGATCGCTAAAATTCTAATTTGTAGGATATTTATGGTATATTTGTTAAATGAAAGGGGCAGACTGTGTAATGTATATGATACTGTTTGAAAAATAAAAATTTGGGGCCGGGAATGTAGCTAGTGGTAGAGTGCTTCCCTAGCATGCTCAAGATCCTGGGTTCAATCCCAGCCACCATAATAAATGAATAAAAGTGTTAAAAGCCCTATGTATATATTATATATGCATGTTTATATGAGCAAGGACAATTGTGGAAAAATAAAAGGTAGTATTGGCTACCTTGGTGAAGGGGGATATAAAATAGTTGTGTACTTTATATATCTTTGTATTGTTTTACTTGTTAACAACATATGTTACTTTTGTAATTTAAAAAACATAAAATAAAGGGGGGCAACATTTCCAAAGCAAGAATCCTTGAAAATGTGTTTTTTTTTGTTGTTTTTTTTTTTTTTTTCTGACAAGATGGCTGACTGACCTGATGGCCTTGCCTTCAGCTCAATTGTGGGAAAGCTATAAGAGTAAAAGTGTAGATGTGAAGAGCAAAAGACTGAGAAACTTCCAAGTCTTTGGCTTATATTTATTTTGAAGTAATTTTAGACTTAGAAAAATATTACAAAACATTTTCATGTTTTTTTTTTTTTTTTAATGTGGCTTGCACCCACCTTCCTCTAGAATATAGGCCAATTATTTTGTGGAATATCTTTCAAGTTTGATCCAGTTTTCTGTGATTATATTGAGGTTGTGTATTAATATCACAGAAGTGATATACTCATCAAGTTAAACAATGCTATGTTTCCCCCCAGCTTTAAGGTGTAACTGACAAGTATTATCTATATTTATAGTTTATCATGTGATGCAAAATTAATAAATCAATTTAATATGTCCATTACCTCACATCTATATGTGCGTTAAGGACATTCAAGGTGTAATTTCATAGCAGTTTTACAACATATTAACCAGTTACCATGGTGTACAACAAATCTCTGAACTCATTCATTGTAAGTGAAACTTTACACTCTTTAACTAGCTTCTCATTCTTCATAACCCAGTCCCTCCTAGTCACCATCCTGCTCTCTGCTATAAATTCAATGTTTTAATTCTGAGATTGTACAGAATGTTTCTATGCTTGCCTTACTTCATTTAACATCCTCCAAGTAAATCCATGTTATTACAAATGACAGGATTTCCTTCTTTTTTAAAGGCAGAATAATATTTCATTGCATATAATGTTTTTTATTTATCCAATAATGATAGACATTATGTTGATTCCACACCTTGGCTGTTGTGAATAAAGGTGGAATGAACATGGGATTGTGCATATCTCTTCAACACATTAATTTTGGGCATATACTGGAACATATGATAGTTCTATTTTTAGTGTTTTGAAGAACCACTCTTGGGGCTGGGGATTTAGCTCAGTGGCACAGCAGGTGCCCGGCAAGCACAAGGTTGTGAGTTCAATTCCCAGTACCGGAAAAAAACCAAAAAAAAAAAAAAAAGAAGAAGAAGAACCACTCTACTGTTTTTCATAATGGCTGTACTAATTTACATTCCCAACAGTGTACAAGGATTCTCTTTTCCCCAATTCTTGGCCAGCACTTATCTTCTGTCTCTTTTATAATAGCCATTATAACAATTGTGAGTTGATATTCATTGTGGTTTTGATTTTTCCATGATGATTAATGATAATGATTTTTCATTCACTAATTGGCCACTTGAGAAATGTCTGTTCTGGTCCTTTGCCTTTTTAAATACATATTGGCAGCACTGGGGATTGAATTCAGAGCCCTTTTCCCCTCTTTTTCTGTATGTTATTATGTCTTAGATGGGTAATCAACCTTGGTCACTTAGTTAAAGTACCAGATTTCTTCACTGTCACTTCTTTTTCCTTTGTAGTTAACCAATGTCTTGGGCAAGATACTTCGCAATTTCCAAAATGCCTGTTAGCAGGCTGTAACACCAGAGACTGTTTGACTAGTTCTGGCAGAGAATTCAGCCATCCCTAATAATTCCTGTGGTTAGCCAAGGGTGGTCAGATTTGGTTTACAATCCTAATTACCCCTAATCAGCCCTAAAACAAGGCATCATCTTCAAAAAAAACTGACAGTGAGAAACACTGAATTATGACATTTGTGGACACTGGTCTATAGCTTTATTAACTATAGCACTTAATCTCAATTGTCAGCATGACTGGAGTAAGAGACTTATAGACAGGTGATCAGATCATGGGGGCCTTTTACTCGCCAGTAGACTAATCTACGGATGTTCATAGCTGAATGTATTTTTAGGAGCTGGGGTCCAATTGAAGGTGGGTCACTAGGATGTGTCTCATTGGTGCTTTCCCCACACTTTTCTTCCCAGCTGTTACCAAGTGTGCAGGTTTGCTCCACTGTGCCCTTTTGCCATGATGTATGCTTCAATTTAGACTCATGACTATGGACTGAAACCTCTAAAACCATTAGCCAAAGAATTTTCTTCTTTATCTATGTTAGGTACTTTGTCCCAGCAAAAAAAGAGTAACTAATAGAGTGACCTGTTTTTTAGTTCTCTAGTGCTACTTAACTTTATCATAAACTTAGTAGCATAAAGCAACACACATTTTAAAACCACAATTTCTGAGTTGGGAGTGAAGGTTCGGCTTAACTGGGTCCTCATGTTCAGGATTTCACAAAGCTGCAGTCAAGATAGTGGCCAGAACAGTGGTTTCATCTGATTCTCATCTACGGGAGGGTCTCCTTCTAAGATCACATAGTTGTTGGAAGTATTTTTTTTTTTTTTTTGTGATGTGTTGGTCTGAAGGTCTCAACTTATTGCTGACTGTGGACCAGAGGTCACTCTCACTCAGTTCCTTGCCGTATGAGCCCTCTCCAATGCGTGGTTCACAGTGTAGCAACTTCCTTGAAATAAGTAATACGCTACTATTATAGAAGATACACTCTTATATAACATCATAATGGACGTGACATCTTGTTACCCTTGCTATATTCTATTAGAAACAAATGACATGTCTGAGTTAGGCTCAGGAAGAAATTACATATGGGTGTAATTTCCCTTTCCACAATAATCTGGTGGCAGAGATTATTGGAGACCAACTTAGCATCTGCCACCTGATGAGGAAACACTATTTGAAAGTAGAAATGAATAAGGAGATCAAGTATGTTAGAACAAAGATCTAAGTAAGTCACCTACGTGCTACTAGGCTTCATGAGAACAGATTACAAATGTTCTTCCTGGAATTTCTCCACTAAACAGAACTAATACATTGATTTATACATAAGAACATACTGAGTGCTTATAATGAACCAGACACTGTTTTAGATACTGGGGATGTGGTAGCAGATAGAAACTGTTCATTGTCAAGGTGCAAAAAATAAACAGGGCAAGGGGATAGGAAATAGGAGGGAAGTGAAATTTTAGGTACAGTAGCCAGGAAAGTCCTCAAAAGTGACCTCTGCTGATGGAAATGAGGGATCTAATAATGACACTATCTAGAAATAAGTATTCTTTCTCAGTTACAGCAAATGTAAATGTCCCAACAGAACTGCCTGCTGAATAACCAGGTATCCCAAAATTTAATTGAGTAGTAAACATTATCTCACAGTGTCTATGGTTAAAAAATTCAGGAAGCACCATTGGAGCCCACTTCACCTATTTCCCCTTCATCTTCCTGTGCCCAAATATTTCGTTTATACAGTCCATCTTTCCAGACTCTAGAATGCTGGAGCCCAAATGCCATCTTTGCTTGTGGTTGGAACATGCCTGCCATGGCTTATCTGTTTGCCTTCTTTCTTCCTCATTTTTCCCCGCCCTCCCACGATGGGGGTTGAATCTAGGGCCTTCAAACTGAGGTATATCCCCAGCCCTTGTATTTTTTTAAATTTTAAAATAGTCTAAGTTGCCCAGGCTGGGATTGAATTTGAAATCCTCCTCCTGCCTCAACCTCCCAAAGTACTGGGATTACTGCTGTGCACCTCTCTGGTTTCTCCCACCAAGAAGCAGAATCCAAGCTGTCCCATATGTCTTCTAAAACAAGTGGCTCTCAGTGTGCCCTACCATCTGCTAATAAGACAGATTACAGGGTAATACTGTCTTTCTTATAACCAGCACCATGTTGGTCGACAAGATACAGGCAGCTGTTTCCTGCATTAGTGATAGGTTTTGCACAACTGGTGAGTAGCACATCGCACATCACATTTACTGGTCTTTCTCATTTATGAATTCTCTGATGTGAACTATGATGTATACATTTTAAAAGTTTTTTCACAAACAATAACTATAAAAATACTGATGTTAATATTGGATAACATCCATTAGATTTACCATATATTAGAAACAGTCCCATTTTATATTTAATTCATTTAATCCTCACAACACATTAGTATATATTTATAAACACAAGTTATAACATGACATTGTTTTCTATAAGTATTTACATAGTTCTTACATATTTGTGTATGTATACATGTATATAAGTATATTAAAAGTTTAAAAGAAAAAATTGTTTTCAGAGTTGTCAGACAAACTGTCAGAGAATAAATTTCTACTGTTGTAAAAGAGAAGAATGAAAAGATATTAGTGATAATTTATAGGGAGAAAATATTCATTAGTTATTTCTGCATTGAAATTAATTTTTAAAGGAAAAAACAAAGAGCATTAAAGTTGCATTTAGAAGGCAACTTTCATATCTGAAAAGCTTCAGAGTCTACTGTACCATTTATCAGTAGTTACTTAACAAAATCATAGTTGAGCATACCAAAGAAAATTGACACAGTTAAAAATAATGATAAAGATCTACACTTACTAAAATAGTTATCATGGAATATTTTGGATTATGGTACAGCATGGATATTACATTTAAGTCTGGAAAAATTTCTTATAATAATTTTAAAGTAGTCATCTCTGGTCAGTAAGATTGAGATAATCTTTTTTTAATGTTCCCTTTTCTCTTTTTTTAAAGTAAGAAACAAGGGGAGAAAACAAGCTGCTCTCAAAAGCAATGTTATAATTTTGCCAAGGGTGAAAAGTGTATGAAAAAAAATCTATACAATACATGTTATAGTGCAAATTGGTGGAAGTATACATCTATAGGTCACCACAATAGAAAAAATGGCCCCCAAACCTAAGCTGAAATAAATATATCAAATAGATACCAGTAGGAAAAGAAGAAAGTACCAGATAAATAGTTCTGGGGTAGGATTTTTTTTTTAAAGAGATGGGAGGCTTAAATTTAGACCTCAAATTTACATTTTAAAATACATTTAATTATAAATTATAATAGGGCTGGGACTGTATAGGTCAGTGGTAGAGCAGCTGTTAGCATGCTTGAGGCCTTGGACTCAATCCACAGCACTGGGGGAAAAAAGCCTAGCTTGATGGTACAAGCTACCACAGAGGCAGAGGCAGCAGGACTGCAAGTTCAAGTTAAGCCTGGGCAATGCAATGAGACCCTGTTTGAAAAAAAAAAAAAAAAAAAAGGACTGGTGATATGCTTCAATAGTAGAGCACCCTGGCTTCAAGACCAAGTAGTAAAAAACAATAAACAGGCTATGTGTAAAAGTCTAAATACATTAGACAAAATAGTGTTAACATGATCATAACATGATGTTATGGGTTAAAATGTGTCTCTCAAAAAAGATAAAGTTATAACCTCTGGTGTCAATGAATGGGATTTTACATAGAAATAGGATGATCACAAATGTAATCAAGCTAAGATGAAATCATTAGTGTCCATATAAAAGAAGATACATAGAATGCAATGCAAAGATGAAGGAGAGGGAAATGCTGTATGTATAAGACAAGGGGTGCCAAGGATGGCTGGATTCTCCAGAAGTCAAGGGAAAGGCATGAAATAGATTATTTCTCAAGAGTTCTCATAAGGAACCAACCTGCCAACAACTTTGATTTCAGTTTTTTAGATTCCAAAACAGTGAGAAAATAAATTTCTGTTGTTTTAAGTTACCAAGTTGAACTTGTATTTCCTGGTTTGTTCCCATGATCTGTTTATTAAAATATGAAAATTAGTAACAAAAGGGCCTTATTTTCTATCATCTATCCAATATGAATTCCTTCATGGCAAATGAGGTCTGAGCGACTACCAAAGGCCTTTCCACATTCCTTACAGTCATAAGGTTTCTCACCCTTGTGAATTCTCTGATGTCGAGTAAGGTTTGAGTCTTTATTAAAGGCCTTCCCACGTTCATTACATTCATATGCCTTTTCATCTGTATGAATTCTCTGATGTTGAATAAGTTCTGAGCTCTGAATAAAAGCCTTCCCACACTCTTTACATTTATAGAATTTCTCACCAGCATGAATTCTGTGATGGTTAGTAAATGTTGAGGCACTACTGAAAGCCTTCCCACATTCCTTACATTCATAAGGTTTTTCACCAGTATGCATTCTGTGATGCTGAATAAGTCTTGAGTGTTGTGTAAAAGCTTTCCCACATTCTTTACATTCATAAGGCTTGTCACCAGTATGAATTCTGAGATGCGGAAAAAGTTGTGAACTTTTAGTAAAGGCTTTTCCACATACTTTACATTCATGTGGTTTCTCACCAGTATGAATTCTCTGATGATCCTTAAGGTTTGAGCAAAAATTAAAAGCTTTTCCACATTCTTTACATTCATAGGGTTTCTCACCAGTGTGAATCCTCGGTGTTGAGAAAAATATGAACTACAACTAAAAGCCTTGCCACATTCCCTACATTCATATGTTTTTTTCACCAGTATGAATCCTCTGATGTTGAGTAACAAGTGAATCACTACTAAAGGATTTCCCACACTCCTTACATTCATAGGGTTTTTCACCAGAATGAATTGTCTGATGTTGAATAAATTGTGAGTTCTGATCAAAGGTCATCCCACATATCTTACATTCACAAGGTTTCTCTTCATTAATAGTTTTTTGATGTGGAGTAAGAAATGTAGGCTGAATAAAGGTAGGCATGTCTTCAGACATAAGTATTACTTAATTGAAATGTCTCTTCTTTAGAGATAATATTTTGGTTTCACACACTGATTCCATATCTGAAAGAAAATATTCATTTTTTACTATTCTGGACAAGTTACATTTCTAAAAAAGAAATGGGAGGATTAAACTTAATATCTGGGAAAGGACATGCTTTTATATGTCTCAAATATGGTTAAGCAATTTGTAAAACTGGCAAGAAAAGCACAGACATTCAGGAGAGATAATAAAAGCTGAGGAGATGGTCAGGAAAGTAGATGAACTCTGACTGTCAAATTTTGGTGTGGGCTAGAGTCATTTTAAATAGAGAATACACACTGCTTAGCCCATCTATATTATATAGAGATTCTAAGCATATAGAATCTATGTAGAAACATATGCACACACACACAGAGCATCATACTCTATGTTTTGTAATTTGTGGATAATTGTTAGACCTATATTAAAGAACTGTTGAGAAGAGTGTGTTGAAATGTATAAATGATTCTGTGCAAAGGTGTCAAGTGCAGTGACTCTGCAAAGGTGTACGGTTGGCAAATTCACATTTGGGAAACAGTTTTTGCAGTAAGTCTTAAGATGCTGAATAAAAACTGAGGAATGGTAGGTAAACCTCTTCTGTGTATAAAACATGACATGAATTGGGAATCCTCTGAAAATAATTTCTCTTGAATTTAGTAAGGCTGACCTTAAAAAAGAATGACAATGACTAGGAAGGAAAACTTTGACACAGAAGAAAGATAGGATGAAATACACTGTGAGAAAAGAGGAACTCTATGTCAACAAAGAAACCCTAGTTTTATTTTTTAAGGCAACTGCTTAAGCTCTGAGCCTTCTATATCTTGAATGTTAAAATGAGGATGATAACTAACTCATGATTACTACAAAGAGAATGAATATCATGTAAATAATCTGGTTAAAAATGAAGCACTCAGTATATATTGTTATGAAAGAATGTCATAGCAAAAATAGGGGTAATTCAGCAAATGAAATAGTTTACAAACATCAAAATAAAACCAGGTAGACCATCTCAAGACAAATACATGATCCTTTTCCTCCTATGTCTGATGACCATTGGCCAATTTAGGTGAATTCATAAAAATTTCTTGCAACTGTCCCAATACTTGTACTCCAGATGAGCATCAACTCTTTCTTAGACAACTACATAAATCTAATGGTTTTCCCAATATGCTCCAGCACCCTCTAATTTATTGAGCACCTGAAGTGATACTTGGTCTAGCCTGGTGATACCTAAAATGTAAACTACTTGGTAATTATCAGTAAGATCCTGCTGATATGGATCCTGCTTTTCTCTCTAGCTGTGGCTGATATGTCACTTCTACTTGCTCAGGAAGCTCTATCTTTCAAGCATGTCCAGTTCTCCCTGTCCCTTAGGGCCTTCTCACAAGGCTTTTTTCCTTGCTGGTATACCACACACTTGAAATCATTGTGGGCCCTGTTAATTGCTACTCATCATTTAGGCCTTAGCTCAAAACATATCTCTAGTGAGACCATATCTGACCTTTAGTCTAAATTATAGTGTCTCTGACATTTGACCTTAGGTCCTTCTGATTTTTCTTTAACAACAGTTATTTGTAATGTTATATACATCTGCAGAGGTACAATAAGATCAAGACTATTTGATTCTCCAGTGGATACTCAGCTTTTTGCAAAGTACCTAAAACATACAAGTTCAATACTGTACTGAATTACTGAGGCACTAAATGAATTTTTAGATGTACTGTTTTCAAAAATAAAATTTAAAAACATATATACTCAACTCTTACTGTTTACAGTAATTATGTTCTGTAAATTTGCCAGAAATACTGAGCTATTAAATACTGAACTACTGCTTTCATCAATTGAATACATAATATATAATCTTGTTTTACACTTCTATATAAAAACACTTGATATTGATTGATTACTATTCAGTGTAAAGACAATAGCACTATAATTTATATGTGAACAAATCTCTAACATGTACATTCTCCATAAGGCATATCACAGTCTTCTTGTGCTTAGAAACACTAACTAACACTTAGTACTATGCTTAGGGCCATTTCATTTGTGTTTGTGGTGCTGGGATTTGAACATGGCCTCACACATGCTAAACAGGTACTCTGCCACAGAAATAAACTCAAAGTCTCTCCGTGGTACATTTTAAACAGTGAAATCACCAAGAGAAAGCACAAAAATGTGATCCCAATACTGTGAAACAAGCAAACAGAGGCCAAAAAAAAAAAAGAAGAAGAAATGTGGCAAATGTGATACTAAACAAAGTAAAAACAGATATTTTTTAACACTATGAGAGGTAAAATAAGGCAGAGCAACACCCTGTTTGATCTCAACTGGGAAAGTGTGCAGTGGCAGACTCAATTTTTTCCCCCTTCTATATATAACCAGGGAAGCTATTTGAGCACTGATTTTGGGAGTACAAATAAATTTTAGGAAGTTGGTGTATTTGCACATATAGATTCTCAATAAAGAGAGACTATATTTTTAATAAAATGAGGCATAATTTCTGTTGAAATGGCAGCCTCTCTCTATATATACCTATGTATCATACATACATATGAGTTCACCATTACTTGTTCGTGAATCCATAGTCAAAACTGCCAGGACAAAGATACTGAAAGAGGTAGGAGCAATAAAACAGAAGATGGAAAGCCAATTAGTAAGCAATAAGTGACTCTGCAGACCAGGGAATCAAAATTGGAACCTAAGCAGATAAATTCTACAGAAATGACTCATGGTGAAAATATGTAAAAGTAAAGTACTCAAAACACCAGATATTTCTAATAATGAGGTGAATAAGAAATACTAAAAGATGGAGAATGAATTCAAAGGTTTTATTAGGTCGCCTCCATATTCGACATAGAAAGATGATTAATTTCTCTATACCTAGAGAATTAAAATTATAGAAAAATGGAACAAGATAGAATTTGAATTCAGAATATCCCATAAAGTTGTAAGCATGATTACTGAACCGAGAACAAAGGATTAACATAAAATACACCTACTTGTGATACAGTAAAGAACATATCTGCCCTTTGACCTTAGTTCTTGGCACAGACCTTCAATAACCCTTGGAATTTCCTGATAAAAATGATTTTCAAGCCAAGCATGGTGGCCCACACTTATAATTCCAGCACTTAGGAGGCTGAGACAGGAGGATCACTGCGAGTTCCAAACCAGCCTGGGCTGCAAAATGAGTCCAAGGCCAGCCTGAACTGCATAGCAAAACCCTGTCTCAAAAACATATTTAAAAAAGGCTTTCATTATTCAAAATGAATTTTGGCCATACTTGAGATTATGTTAATGAGATGATTCATGGTGTGTTCATAGATAATTTCAAGGGAGAAGATGCTGAAAAATACTAGGTCTGTGATTAGACAGTTTGGACTTTCAGCCCCAAACCCTGACCTCCAAAGAGAAGAGACAGATTGAAGACTGAGTTAAACCATGAGGTCACAAAGCTAATGAATCATATCTATATAATGAAACTTTTAAAACTCAAGGTGATGATTGTGAGAAGTTTCCCAGTTGATAAACATATCAATAGAAAAGGAGGAGTGATATACCTGACACCATGCGGACAGAATTTTCTGTGCTTACGGTCCTTGCCATGTGTACCCTGACCTGGTGGTTCATTTATATTTTTATATAAGACAGTAATAATAAGAATACTGCTGCCATGAGTTCGGGAATTATTCTAACAAATTATAAAGGTGTTCTGATTTGCTAAGGATATTCTATTTCTGACAATTTCTTTTTTAACTGTGGTGTTTGGGATCAAACCCAGGGCCTTGAATATGCTATGTATATGCCCCACACTGAGCTACATTCCCAGTCCAAGAATGTTCTATTTATATCTCAAGTGCTGGTTACAGAGATGAATTTGCTTCACACAACTCATGATGCTCCATAATTATGTCGTTTTCTGTACTATACTTAAATTTTTCAAAAAGTAAAATAGTTTTTTACTTTTTAAATTAAAGAATAAATTATAAAATCATGGAAAAGCTGGTTAAAGCAACTGAATAATTGGAAAGTATTAATGTATAAAGTATTAATAATTGGAAATATGAAATGTAAACTAGTACAGGGAAAGAAAAAAACATACATTTATATACATATATTTCTTAGGGAAAGAATACCTTCTGTTATATAATTCTAAATACAGCATATACTGAGAAGGAATGACATCTAAAATATAAGTAGAATAATTGCTTTGGAAATAGAAGCATTTACTGTGTTGCACTAGAATAAAGTGTAGGAGGGGGAAAACATGATAGCTCATATGGAAGAGGCCTTGGGCATTTGAGGGGAGGGTCTTGAGAGCCTTATAGCATCTCTGAGGTAATATATTCTCATGACCCTACCCCTGCCCTATAATTTCTCACTTACTTAAACACAGGCATCTACTCAGCTCTGTGTCCACTATCCAGGGCTCTTTTCTTTGTTCCAATAATGAGATCACAGCTGGATTAGAACTGGAAAATCCTGCACACAAGAAAAGACATGGGAATTGTTATACTGTAGGTATTCCAGAAATTAGATCTAGGTCCTTAGTGATCAAGGAAGAGATGCTACTACAGGAATGACCAGAGAAAGATAGAAAAGATCAAGCTTCAGCTGCAGCCTACTGGAGTTGCCCATTCCCAGCTCTTCCATTCCATTTCAAATCAAACCATTCCCGGGGGAACAGGGAGTAGAAATTCACGGGCTCCTTCAAGTGAATAATTCACAATGGAAAAAGGAGACATTTTTAAGGGCAACCTCTGAATTTTGGAGGGTAGCTATCCTTACCCATTGAAACCAGGTTGCTGAAATTCTCCAACATCACTTCCCTGTATAGTTTCATCTGATCAGAGTCCAGACATTCTCATTCATCTGGACAGAAGTGTATGGACACATCCCTGA